ATGCTGAATATAATAATATCGAACAATAACGTATTAATGAAAATCAAAGATCGAAAAGAATTTTAAATCTTCTTATACAAACTTTTTGTATAAACTTAAGTGAACAGATAATAGGACCTGGCAAAAGCTTATTCAAATTTCTCATGTAAAAATTTGTACTCTGCTCAAATTACGTAGTTTCAATTCCGTACTTTCAAATTCTCCCTAAGTGCATGAAAATTCGCTACCTGGTCGTAATTATTTTTCAAACATCAAATTTTGTACTATTCTTCTATTATATATATATTATATTCGTATTATACAGGGTGTTCTATAATTAACATGAGAGATGATTCTGCATACAGAATGTTCGGAAAGAATAAAATTTTTTCATTAGAACCTTCGTTTTCGAGAAAATCTTGAATTTTAGTTAATTCCATACTGGACAGTCGCGAATAATCGATACGAAAATATTCTATGCGCTCAAACGAGTAAGAAAAGGTAGAATAAAATTTTTTTCTTTTAAGGCGTCGTTTTAAGAAAATAAACTTCGAATATATTTCGCTAAAAATTACACGTATTTTTGACAAACTTTCAAACACGATTTTTTCGAGAATGGAGCGTCATCCAGAAAAATTTTATTTTTTACGTTTTTTACTTATTTTCGCAAGTGAAATAATCTCCTGTCAATATTTTTTTTTTTTCGTCACTTTTTAGAATTAACTAAATTCAAGCATACCTGGAAAAACAAATTATTCAAACTCGATTTTCTCGAAGACGAAGCGTCATATGGAAAGATTCTATTCTTCCTTCTCGACTATATATTCGTACATTCTTCTTCCATATTTAAAGAGCAAAGAGAGAAAATTTTGTTCAGAATAAAGCAGAAAATGAAGAATAGAAAACGTCTGGTGAAAAATGAAAAAGCGTAGAATATCGGGTCTGGCGAGAAAATTCCGAATGCGCCGCCAATCGCTGAATCCCTCGAACTCGAGAATGAAGGTAGCGCTTCGAATATTTACCACACGACACTAACCCGCAGCCCGTGCTGTTTCTTTCTTTTTGTTCGGTGCCTTCGCCGGCTCCGGAATGCATGAAACATTAATCGAAAAACTTACCGAAAACCGATCACGAGACAGAGGGCTTCCTACTGTAGTTTGGCAAACTTAACGAGCGAGGGTAAGGACACGGATCGACCGAGGCTCGAGGTAAGACCCCCTCCCTCCCCGTAATAACATAATCACGGTAAAATCGGCTCGCACCAAGTTTTACCTATCCACGCTTTTCTTACTCTAAACGAGAAGTTTTTTCGCCTGCCACGCTACATCTCGAACGCAGCTTCTCTTCTTAGCATTTGTCTATCATCTCCGCACGAAACGGAACTTGTCGAATGGAATTCGCTTTTATCCCAGATCTTTGAACGAGACGACTCCCTTTCCGATTTGCTTGAACCTACAGTAAAGAACTGCATCAATGACGATGAAAAATTGTCGATAGTTTGAACTAGAGTAGTCTAACTGGCGGCCCTATTTTCTATCTATCCCCTCTACTAAATCGATCGATGCAGTGGAGGGGGAAGCGCTAGCAATCAGGAAAGTAGGGACAAGGGCTCGCGGGCTGTCAGTTAGCCACTCTAGTTTAAAAAAATCGTCAATTACTGATTGTAGAAAGCGATCGTATAACGATCCACTTCGTTTCATTTGTAAAGTCTCTATTTTAACACTCGTGTGTTTGCACTCTGTTCGAAGATGGCCTTACACTACGTAGCGGGTGGAAGTCGCGTTTTTTTTCGAAAATTGTAAAAATTCGAACGAGTATAAAAACAACAATTTTTTTTCATGACTGAATCCGTCATGGTCTTGAAGATTGAAATTTCTTTTTTCAAACTCGCTACACAATTTTTAGATGGCAAAATAGATTAGATTAGAAATAATGGAATATTAAATTTCTTGAATTTTTGTCGTTTTACTCTAGTGCTTCAACATTCAATGGTGCAGAGAAAATTGTGACCACCAAACCACAAGTTTTAGGCAATCATTGTGAAGGAGGAACAATTCATGCTTCTACGCACGTTTGAATTTTTACGATTTTAGAGAAAAGCCTTCTCACTCACTACGTGATGTAAAATTTAAAAGAAAACGAATTCACGACCGCCAAAGCAGAAGCTTCGCTATTTAAAATGAGATCCATGAGTGGATCGTTGTACCATCTTTTCTTTTTACAAAGTTGTACCAGCTTAGATCATCCACAATTTTTCATTGTCGTTGGTACAGTTTTGCTCTTCACTGTACTTTCAACTCGATTGAAACGAATGTTTTACGTTTTATCGCGTTTCATTACTTCGAGGCAGTGCCAGAAACTGTACGTACAATTTGGACATTCGTTTCGATTTGGTGAATTTGCAAATAATCGGACAATTATTTTAGACTAGACGCACACGGAGATACAGTGTAATTTTGGGCATTTCAGGCTTGTCCGGAATTCTTTTCACGTGACACGGCTCTATTTACGCGAGAGGTACAGTATCATTTATGTGTCAGTCTTTCTCTTCTGAGAGACGAATGATCGACATTCGACAGTCCCACTATAGCTATTTGTACAAAATATATATAATATATTAAAGTGATTCACTTTCTGTGAACAAAAATACAATATATTTTTAGTTTAAAGGTTATTTGTTGTGACTCGATTCTCTCTATTGCCACTTTGTTATTGCACGAATATTTTCCGGAAGCAATGGCAGATAGAAAAAGACACTGTATCGCGTGAATGCCCGTGTGAAACTGGCTTTGATCTCTCTACAGTTCCACACTGTTTCGAGATCTGTTTTTAGAGTGCACCCAACACTCGCACCAAATCGTGGACACTATGGTAGATAATCTTCGAGAAACATATTCGCGTAAAAAAAAAAAAATAGGGAGCAAAGCAAAATAGAAGAAACTGGCTTCTTCTGCGATCAGCGAGACACGCTTTCATGCTCACGCTGAACAAGCTTCAAACTAGAATGACACACGCATTCACGAGGTTCTATCTCCCTCGACGATAAGACCAGGGTCGAAGGCTTTCGAGCACTTCTCGTTTGACGCGTGCACTGTTTGTGTTTACAGAAGTCGAGCTTCAATAAATTCGACGCCCTCAGCAAGAAGACGGTGCTACATGTGCGCTCGATCGACGCGGGCAAAGTGCAACAGCAACTGAACGCCGTAAGATCATGCATTCACTCTCTCTCTCTCTCTCTCTCTCTCTCTCTCTCTCTCTCTCTTTCTTTCTTCATAGATACTTTAAGATTGACGTACTTTAACCCTTCAGCCACGAAGAGCGCATAAATAGCCTTTCTGTTTCAAGCCGTTCGCGTGGAATTGATCGTTTCATCTCTTCTTTTTCTCTCGCAACGAAGAGGAAACACAAAGGCGTTGCTCGTTCGAGGAGAAAATCCCGGCTGAAGGACGGATCTCTTAATTAGAAAGAAAAAAAAAAAAA